GCATATAATCACAACGCCTTACACTCAGTTTAGCAGTTATGGGTGGCTGCAAAAGTGGAAGATGCCACAACGAGATGTGAATGGAGATATCGTAAGAGGTGCTAGTCTAAAATGCTACGCAAGCACACAAACACATAGAGCCAAAGAAGCTGTGAGGAGGATTGCAGCGTGCAGACCGATGATGATCAGTGGCCAAAGTGGATAGCCGGTTGTACATATGGTGCTTAAATGGTGAAATGTGACGGGTTGGCCGAATGTTAGCATTTTGACACTAGATAATCAATGGACAGATTGACCAACCCTTTAGATTATTGTCAATGTGCATAAAAATTAACTTCGGGAGGATCAGTTCGGGGCCTCGTAACCTTGCCCATGTATCTTACGGCCTGGAGGCTGGACATTTCAGGACCATATAGAGAGGCTTATGTGGAGCAATTTGCAGCAAATCCTGCTCACCACTGTGAGTGGCGAGACGGACCGGCTCACAACGGTTGACAGGTCGATGTGCGCCCACATAAGGAATGACTGCATTCTCTCTCCGCCAGTTTAGGGGCACCTTACATCCCCAGTGGATCTCAATTCGCATTCGCGCTGGTGCAGATACTCCCTCCTCCTCATGCATAGCTTCGTTTGTCTCGAATGCTCTCGCTACAGATTTTGCACACCCGTCTGCCCACAGATTCCGCCTCCCTTGGTCCCGGACGCACTCTTACCTCCGGGGGTGAACATTACCCCTCCACATTTCCTCCTAGGACCCAGCTGCCAACAATGATGCAAAACCAGGCTCCATTATTTGTGGACCAGCAGGGAGGCAGTGCTGCAGTAGAGAGGATGGAGCTTACTCGAGGCTATCGCGAGCTCAGCAGGAGTCTATGAAGCTTCTTTGTGAGCTCCCTCGTGCTTGTCGAGCACCCAAACATGGGTTCGGTGAGGAGGCTTGCTGCTGGTGTCCCAAGGAGGTGTGTGTGCTGGCAAATTTTCTGTTACGGTTGCATCATAGTTGGGGGGGTGGCCGTGAATTTGCTGGGAGGCTGGAGGTATCCCTAGAAGGAACACACACATAAAGTGACTCAGATGACAAGGCTGGGTCTTCTCACCTGACATGTGAGTTGAGGTGGATAAACCCTTGAAGCTGGTGAATAACATTGGATCTGAATAAAAGCATGCGAGGTCTCCACCTGGAGTGGACATTTGGCTCAAAAAGGACCCAAGAAGATCGTGCTCTTATTTTTTGTGGCCCAAGTGTGCACACTGACAGTTTTAAAATCCATCAACACTTCCATATCAACGAAATGAAGTATCCACGATCCAGTTGGTTAAGAAGTGGACGGCAAGTGTCTTGCACACAAAATGGTTGAAATGATCAAACAGGGTCTTGATCACCAGCAAGCTAATAACCTACAAAGTGGTCGAAATGATCAAAGAGGGTCTTGATCACCAGCAAGCTAATAACCAACACAGTGGTCGAAATGGGCCGACTGGCACAGGAAAAGAGGGATCGAGGCCCGTGACGAACCTTGTTGCTGCTTCACAGGGACCCATGACTCTGCAGATTGGTGAAGTTATTACCCAAGCCGATTACTCTCTTTCTTAATTAGAACCATGGGTTCAAGACAGCGACAGACCCAAGCCACCTTTCTCGCTCTGCTGGCTGGACTCGAGTCTCGTATGCAACATAGCTCGCTTAACGAGCCAAAACCAGGCTTGTTGAACTTGCGTCGACAAGCATGCAGTCGACTCTTGGCATGCTCAGCATAAAACATCGTAACATTAAAAACACCGATCTACGGAGGGATATTATGAATTGTTTATTTTGAGTTCCATTCACACCCCACCTTCATTTTCTTGCCTTTTCCTACCTCTAAGCCACTAAATTAGCACTACATATGGTGAAAGCAATGAGAAATTGACATGAATGTGGTGTTAATATGTAATATTCACCCACATCTAGCAGCAAAGTGGCAAATCCGTGCGGATTTGACAGATTGTGATGAGCCGTACCTGTTCGTATGACAGACGAGTCATAGGCCCAATCAGCTGCCCACTCGGCACGTGTGCCAGTCAGCTCATTATGCAGTGTGCACTAGAACCGCCAGGAATATAGATATCACGTTTTTTTCAGGGTGAACTAGACACGAGCACAACGTCAGCCAAGACTGAATGACTGTAATGGACATCGTCATATGGCTGAACTACGTCCAGCATGGTCGGGCCAACCCAATAGCAACACAGGCCAAACTTAACTTCTTGCATGTCCAACGTGTCACCCTCAGTGCAGCATTTAGTTGCGACTAAAGCACGAATAGTTTGCTTCATGTAAATTAGTGAGCGACCACAGCCCCTCTCCTTGCTGCAGACCTCTGACAGGTTTGGTGTGAAAACGACCCATCACAGGCTGTCCTCCAGGCTGGCCCCCGAGTCAGCGGCCTGGTCCAGCCCAGTGCCGGCCCGTGCTCAATCCTAGCGTGTACGCTCATTCTCAAAACAAGTTGCTTAAATTGCAGCATCAGAGGCCCCTTCATGTACGAACATGTGCAAGGTCATGTTGACTCTCTTTCGGGATCCCTTGCTGATACTCACAAAAAATGAGGCTGCTCATTTTGCTGATGGTGGATGGAATAGACCCACTTAGAGCGTTATTAGAGAGAAACCTGATTGCAGAACACACAAAAGGTGTTAAGGTTGGAAATAAATACGGAATACAAGAAGAAAACATAACCACTAGGAAAGGATATGGTCAAACCATTGCTATGAAGCACAAGCGAAGGGTGCCATGAAACTAGGCATGTACATACTACCCAGCCAGGTCGAGTGTACCTGAACAGACCTGGGTCAGCGGCCTGGCCCTGGCCCAGCCCAGTAATAGCCCATGCTCTAATCCTAGCGTGTATGCCAGAACAAGTTGCTCAAATTACACCATCAGAGACATCCTTATTCATGAGACTGTGCGAGGTCATGCTGGCTCTTTTTTCGGATTCCTTGTTGATGCTCACAATGTATTGAGGCTGCTCATTTTGCCGATTATGGACGGAATAGAGCCACTCAGAGCATTGTCGTTGAGATCCCTGATGGTAAAGCAAGAAAATTATATTATGGTTGAGAATAAATTAATTCAGCTTGAATTATTTTGGGCCTTATGGCAAACATGCAAATGTGAACACATTCAGAAGCTGGAGAAAATGATATAGACTACACAATGTTAGTGTTGGTGGAGGGCACTGCAAGATACAACAATTGCCTGAAATATCTGTGCATGCACAGTGCATAAAACAGAGTACGACATAATATAATGTCTTCGCCCAGATATGGAATGGAACAGCCAGAACCACTCTTTCCAATATATGTTATCGCTTAAACATTGCAAGACCCTATCATGAGGCTAATGTGCAGAGATAGGCGGCGGACCCTAGTACCCAGAAGTGTATGGCGAGACTTCTTGCATACTGATCCCAGTTAGCTACCCATGGGATGCTGCCTTTGTTGTGAATGTCCTACATATGCTACACACCACATTGTGTGCGTTTTCTTTTCCCCTCACACGTACCTTAAAGCCGGCAGCCCAAATTGCACAAGTTTTAAAAAGATGACGCAAGAGGTTTTTTCTGGTTTGGGTTTTGGCGAGTGATTCCGATTTCGGGCATTTCGTTTTTTTCGCCAAACCCAGCCAGCCCCGTATTTCACCCTGGGGGTTGTGTCAGCACTCGAAAGTCCCAAATTGCAGGTGCGCTACTTTTCAAAGCTTGCACACTGCACTTCGCAAATTTTTAAAAGCATGATCCACGCGCCTCGCAATTTGGGACTCGGGCTTTAACGCCATGCTAAAAAACGTGGGAGAAATTTAGGGGACTCCCAAAGAGAGAAAGCGAACAACGATGTAAGAGGACATTGACGCATCATAGACGCAAAAGATGGACTGCTCGTGCTCACATTCTAATGTTGCTTAGGGTCGTGCTTACGTATGTGGAAGACTTTTTGGGGACTTTTGCAAAGATAACTTCAAGAATGGGAGCTAGACTACGGGCTAGGCACGGGGTAGGAGTGATCTATGCGTTACTTAGTCGTTTCTTTGTGCTCGCTCTACTTGCTGGTTCACGGGGGAATTTGGCAAGAGTTTCACTACGAAAAGTTCACAACAATGATAGCAACAACATTGGCAACACAGACTACATCAGAGCTAGCTAGGCTGCTGGTCGACCTCCAGCGCAGCATGGTCGACCGCGATCCAGCGTAGCAGAGCTCGCACCGCTCCAGTGTTGTAGAGTAGCGGTTCGCCAACGTTGCAAGTCCATGGTGTGCCAACGCTGCAGCAAGTCGGCTGCACAGCATTGCACCCGCAGGACAACGGTGCACCTGCTTCGCAGGTGCATGCAGCTGGTTGGTGCACCACTTCTTGTCACGTGCCCAGCGCAGACGCCCGGCAGAGTCCACACCAGTGACTGTGCCCACCGGCCACGTCGACCTCGGGATACTAACCCCGAGGTCGGCCTCGCAGAAGCCACCCCGGCGACCTTCGCACACGTCGCCCGGGTATCCCGGTCGACCAGGCAACCTTGCCAGGTCGGCTTGCCCAGTCAGTCGCCGACCACCGGTAACCGACGTCCCCAAGGTCGGCGCCAGCTGGTCAACGCCCAGCGTCCTCCCAGGTCGACTCGGCGCCACCTTGGTAGGCGCCACCTTGCTAGGCGCCCTGCTACTTGGCGCCCAACTCCCCTGTCCAGGTCGACGTCGGCGCCCCCTTCGTCGACCACCAAAACTCGGCGCCCAGAAGTCGGCGCCCCTTGCAGTGGCCCCCATGCGAGGTGGTCCAGCTGGTACGCGACCGCGTGGCCGAGTACCAGGCCCGGGCTGCAGAGCTTGCTCCCCGGCCGCCCCCTCTTGCCCCCGTGACGGAGGAGGAGGAGGGGGACGAGGCAGATGACGACGAAGACGCGCAGTTTCTCCCTAGTCGCCGACGACTAGCAGCGCGTCTCTCAGCGAGCCAGGAGGCGGGGAGGGGCGGGATGTTGCAGGATGACGAGGTTAGCAGGTACCTGTCGGAGAGGGTTCGGTGTGACGTGACGGCGTTGGAGTACTGGCGCACCGCCACCAACATGCAGACAGTGAGGCGCATGGCCCGAGATTATCTCGCGATCCCTGCCACGTCCGCCTCGAGCGAGCGCGTGTTCTCCCTTGGCCGCAACCTCATTTCCTGGAAGCGGCACCGCCTGGCCACCCAGAGAACGCGAGCTGTCATGGTTCTCCGATCTTGGTACAGCTCACACCCCGGCCAGAGGATAGGCGAGGGCCGCCGACAGAGAGCGTCGCAGCGCCAGAGTTCGCCATTGAGGGCGAGGGGGCGGAGGAGGAGGACGAGGAGGAGGAGGAGGAGGAGGAGGAGGAGGAGGGGGGGGAGGGTGTGGGGGCGGCTGCCGACGACACAGGTGGCGGGGAGGAGCTTGTTGTTGGTAGTAGCAGTGCTACCGCCTTAGTGTAAGAATTTAGTACATTCAAGTGGTTGTGTTACAAAACAGGCTGGCGTTTGTACTCTTAGGTGGGTTGCAGTAACACAAATACACCATGCAAACCCCTTTCTATCATTCTGGCCCTCTAAACCCCCTTTCTGACAGGTGTGACTATAGCGAATCTGCTTAAAGACGAACTCGAACATGTTCGGGCCGAACATGTTCGAGTTCGCCCGCACGTACAAAGTGTTCGCCCCTCAGGGCGAACATCGAACACCTGTGTTGCCCTAAATCGTTCGCCGAACCGAACAGTGTTCGGTTCGGTTGTTCGAGCTGTTCGACATAGGACGAACCCGAACCTGTTCGAGTTCGTCCTCTGCTCATCCCTAGGTGTGACTATAGCGAATCTGCTTAAAGACGAACTCAAACATGTTCGGGCCGAACATGTTCGAGTTCGCCCGCACGTACAAAGTGTTCGCCCCTCAGGGCGAACATCGAACACCTGTGTTGCCCTAAATCGTTCGCCGAACCGAACAGTGTTCGGTTCGGTTGTTCGAGCTGTTCGACATAGGACGAACCCGAACCTGTTCGAGTTCGTCCTCTGCTCATCCCACCGTTGACCGGACCCATCGACCAACTCGCCCACTGCTGCAGGTCGGCTGCACCTCCTGTCCACGAGGTCGGATCCGCCCAAGCGAGGACAAGGTCAAAACAACTCCCGTTGATAACTTCCAAAGAGGGAAAGCAAAGATAGAGCACATTGGCGCATCAATGACACAAAGGATGGGCTGCTCATGCTTAAAATTCTAACCCTTTCACTACAACATGAGCAAGAGCAGGTCCCCTTGTGACTTATGCCAACCCGGTTCATCAAAGGTCAAACGGTGCCCTGATGTTCGCCGGCCAGCCTGCACTGCTTGAACCGTTCTGATATCAGACAGCTTAAATCGTTTTGGTCCTTACCGAGTAGGTATATGCCTGGCAAACCAGGCTGCTTTGATCCCGTGGCCCGTTACAAACCCCACTACTGCTACCGGACAAGGGCACATGACACCTGAACATGCCCAATACATTTATCCCCAATTTGTCAAACTGCGAGCTCAATTCTGAGCTCAATGACAAGTATAGGTCCAAGTTGACAATTGTGTCAAGCCGAGCCAGCAATCCTGCTCTGCCGGCTGACCGTGAGTTATCGAGCTGGCCTGACGAGCCGAGACCCAGCTTGCTAGCTCGTTTAACTTATTCATTCACCAGTCGGCCACAAGCTGGTCGAACCTGGCTGGACCGAACTGGGCAAGATTATGCTTGATGAACTGAGCTAGATCCCATGTTATGACAAATCATGTTGCCTGGCAGAGAAACATGACTCATGATTCCCGTGAAATATATAGGACCCTTGGATTGACATAGTTGGAGCTCATTCTTATATTTCCACCTTTTATTAAACCACGGGTCCAAGATGACAATTGAGTCAAGACAAGCCAGCACTCCGAGTATCAACTGGCTGGAACCAAGTGGATCTTGTCAACGAGAGTTGGCCCCGTCCTCGCTTGAGCGGAGCCAACTTCGTGGTCAGGTGCGTGGGTGGTGCAGCCGATAGCCTGCAGTGGGTGACACCTACTTAGGCGAGCAGGTCGACAAACTTGGTCGACCTGCACAGGGCCACTGCGAAGCCGCCGATGACAGGAAGCCCGCGGCCAACATCGACTTGTGGTTGACGAAGGGATGTCGACCTGGGAGGGGTGCCGACTTGAGGGCGCCGACTTTGGGAGGCCGACTTAACGAAGTCGGCGGACAGCTGGTGTGGTCGACGAAGGGTTCGTCAACTTGCGAAGTGACTGACTTGGCGAAGTCATCCAGTGGCATCGGCCTTGGTTGGTCGACGAGCACATACAGCTGTTGGTCAACTTCGGCCGCGCAAGTCGACGTCGACTTGCTGGTTTCCTGGTCGACCAGGTTACCCGGGCAACAAGGTTCTGCGAGGTGCGCGACTGTCGCCCAGGAGGTTTTGGCGAAGCCGACCTCAGGAGTGGTATTCCGAGGTCGACGTGGCTCATCAGGCGCGATCAATGACACGTCGGCGACTCAGCACCGGTGCCGTGCACGTGACGGTGCACGTCGCGCCAACCGTCTACAAGCACCTGCGGTGCGCCGCCAACTTGCTACGTTGGCAAGCCACCTGTTTGTTTGGTTGCTAGACTCCGGTGTAGTCAGTGTTGCCTTTGCTATTGTCATTATTGTTCAACCATTGTTGTTATCAACAATTGCTAGTGAAAATCTTGCGATTTGCCCTGTGAACGCGCAAGTGCTAGAGAACGCTAAGAAATGCTATGATCATTCACACAACCGTGCATTCCCCCGTAGTCTAGCCCCCACCTCTGTAGAGTGACTCTTTGCAGATCTCAACGAGCCAATACCCAGCTTGATGGCTCATTGAACTTGCGCCGTCAACCCTAAACCCTAAATTTACAAAACGTTGCCTGTGACACTCTCTTTTCTAATCCGAATTCAGATCGCCTTCATTACACTAGCTTGTTCCTACCTAGTGGAGAAACTCAAAATGCAAATATGAGGCCAAAACCCGAGATCCACCCAAAGCAGCTAAATACCACAACCGCGTGGGATCTAGCAGGCGGTGGTAAGCGATACCTGCTTGTTTAAGCTTAACTGGCTTGTCTACGATGGACGAGCCACGAGCTTGGTGAGTTGCCCGACCGGCTCGTCAGCCCACCAGCTCATGACAACTTGAAACACCCCAGCTTGTCTTGGACCTATGCTCGTGCCTTCTAAGGAGTTATTAATGCCTCCCTGAGGACATTACTGATGGTGTCAAATGCTGGTTGCGAAAAACTTGGACCCTCGTCATGAGGCTTTTTAGGATAGTGGCAGATTAGGCTTGACCCAACGCTATTAGATGGGCCATGGCTATCAGCTCACTCTCTCGCTAATTATGAAAACGGATACTATTCTCCATTACTTCCTACCAAGTGGAACTCAAGTACGGTTTGATAAACCACTTTCTGACCATGATTGTGCGAGAATGAGATATAAGCACAGGGTCAAGCAAGAGCCAGCACGGGGCATTAGATCAGAAAGGAGATTAGGGCTAGACCGAGGCCGCCTTTCTTACCTACCAACCGAGTAGCCATTCAGGCATCAAACCATGGCTGGCTTGCTGCTACAAGCTAATGTACTTTCTACCATGCCACAGCCCAAGACGGGCATGTTTGAAGTCATGTCCAAACTATGCACAAAACAAACTATGCTGGCAAGTGCTCAATGACATGGATTCGGTTGGAACATCCCAACTTCTCATGGATTAGTAAAAAACAGCTGGCTATCACCATATAAAGGACCTCCCATAGCCTTGTTGTGAAACCAACCCATTACTGCTCTGATGGTTCTCGATGGTGCTGGTGGGCTGGCCCAGCTCTCCTTGCTCATGTCGAAATCAACTAAAAAACAAGCTTTTAGGAGAAATTTAATGAATGAATTTGAGCCATCCAAGCCAAAGGTGAAGTCTCAATAAAGTCTTCTTGATACTGACAGGGTTTTAAGGCTGATCATGTTGCCGATGGTAGATGGAATAGACCCAATCAAATTGCCACTTGCTAGACTCCTGACGGTAAACACATGCAACGGGTTCCATCCAAGAAAGGAAAGGGATAGAGTAATTAGTTGGGACGAGTGAGAAGTGGAGGAGTAACTAGCAGGTTGCCTTTGTAACTAGCGCCAACCGTCTACAAGCACCTGCGGTGCGCCGCCAACTTGCTACATTGGCAAGCCACCTGTTTGTTTGGTTGCTAGGCTCCGACGTAGTCAGTGTTGCCTTTGCTATTGTCGTTATTGTTCAACCATTGTTGTTATCAACAATTGCTAGTGAAACTCTTACGATTTGCCCTGTGAACGAGCAAGTGCTAGAGAACGCTAAGAAATGTTTTGATCATTCACACAACCGTGCATTCCCACGTAGTCTAGCTCCCACCTTTGTAGAGTGACTCTTCGCAGATCTCAACAAGCCAAGACCCAGCTTGACGGCTCATTGAACTTGCGCCGACAACCCATGAGAGTTGAACAAGTAATCATGATACCTCACACATCCACTCTAATCGGGATTTATGGAAGTGGAACATGTTACGCATACATTTAGATGTGTCACAAGGTAAGTGAATACAAATGTGCTCAAAACGTTGTGTTGAGATAGTCAAATGTTAACATGAAGACAATCAATACTCAATAGACAGCCTGGTAACCTTCACAAATGTCTGTCCATGCACATAAGAAAAAGAATCTGGGGGCTCCACTAGGGGGGCTTGACCACCTAGGGTTTCTCTTTTCTTGGAAATAAAGACCTGCGACAAACAAAAAATTGTCGCTCAAAGGAATATTTGTGTGATGTCTTCAATTTATATCTCAATAACTCGATTACTTCTTGAGGGTGTTACTACCGACAAAGATGTCGACAAGTAGGAATTGATTTAATAGGGATAAGCAAGCGAGGTGATGGTTGCAGTAGCTGTTCCAAGAGGGAATACCCACTCTCACATTGAGGTTTCAGAGGCAATATTTTCTAGCTCTGGAGGGATCGTGTGTGCTCAAAAGTGATATATTAGGGCTGGTTGAATAAGATCATATGCTCACAACTTCACAGGTACGCGTCTTTTTCAGCTGGGAATTGAGTGGGCATTCGAACAGATTGACCTCCTCAAGAAGGAAAATATGTCAGCTAATAGCTCTTGTGAGAGAAAAATACTTGATTAAGAAAGGCGAGCTCACGATGAACCAGATTTGAGGGGTGGTAAAGATCTATTTTTGGATCGGAGACTTGATATGGGTATGATGGAACTAATAGAATGTTGACGAGAATCGAGTGTTGGCCCGACCTCAACTGGCGAAGCCGACTTCATGGTCGGGTGCGCGGGAGACGCAGCCGACTGACCTGTAGAGGTCGATGCCAGCCTGGACGTGCAGGTCTACAAGGTAGTCGACCCGCCGTCGACGGGAGCCGGTAGCCTACTTCTATAGGGGAGGT